CGGAGGTCCGCTCGGAGGCCAGGTGGAGCGGACCCAGGATAAGTATGCAGGTATAAGTGACTCGGCGTGGCCGGAGGGCGAGCGGGGTGGTTGGGACCCAGACGTGCTCGCGTCGTGACTAGATTTAAGTCGGGCCTGTCCCTCTACAGGGGGAATGTTCAAAAATAGTAGGAGAATAGTCTGGGGATTATTTTGGGGGTATTTTTGGGCATATTTTGAATATTTGTTGAGTATTGTTTTAATCTTTCGTCGAACATCCTCCTGTAGGGGGGCACGCCCGACTTCAGACTAATCGCGGCGGGAGGTTTTTGGGGCCGCGTGTGGCCCCTGGGGGCCCTGGCCGGCCCCTGGGACCGTCAACAAACACAAAATACAGGCTCGGGCTGGAAACCTGGCCTCGAGGAAGCTGTTGGGACTTGCGGGGGCCCCGCCTGGAGCAAAAATCAGAGAAGCGCACGCCTGGGGGGTGGCACGTCGCCCGCCTCGAACAGAGAAGCCGGAGAGAATCGCCCGCCCGCGGGTGGAACGTCCTCCGAGGTTCGACGTGCGCATCCTGGCCGTCCTGGCGCTGCCGCTCCTGGCCGCCTCGTGGGCCCTCTTCAACGTCTGGCGCGTGGCCTTCCGCCAGGGGGCCCGCATCGGCGACTGGGGCGTCGCCGCCAAAGGGGGGGGGGAAGGACCAGGGACCCTCGCCACGGCTTCGGGTTCTCTGGCAGGTCCTGGGTGAGGGGTCTCAGGGGCGGCTTCTAGGGGGCCCCCCCGGGGGTACAGTGGACACCCAGGCCAAGAAACAACCCTGCTTGCCTCCAGGGTGCCCCTTGGGTTTCGATGGTTTTGCTATGAGAAGTGTGACGCTTCCACACCAACAACCAGTGGACGTCCTGGGGTCTCAGGGTTGGGTTTCTTGTGGAAGGTTTCTTTTGGTCGATTTCTTACTGTATCGCGGATTCCTGGTCGATGCTTCCCCCCTGAGCCGCCCCCCACCCCCCTATTGTTGCTCGGAAGCCGGGCAAGGGTTGCTAAATCCAAGGCTGCTAAAATCGACCTCCGGGAAGGTGTCTTCGTCCTTCCGGGAAGAAGCCCGTTGACTGTTTCGCGTGCCGCGCCCCATTCCGGGAAGTTGTTTGTTTTGTCCTTCCGGGAGGGCCGTTTCAGCAGCCACGGTTTGAGCAGCCCTCGCCGAGCTTTCGAATTGCCCTCCTCGGCTTCGTCGTCGCCGCACTCTCCCGGATGCGTTCGCCCCAACGCTGCCCTCCAGGGTCGGGACCTCCGGGCGGAGGGGCGGAGGGGCGCAGCGAGAAGCTGCGGCGTCGGGGGTCTGGGAAGGAGGGCGGGGGGCCAGGTGGGGTCGGACGGGGCTAGGACGAGGATGAATGCGTTCCAGAGCGTTCCGGAACGCGTTCCAGAACGCCCCGAGAAGGCCGCGGCGCCCGGGACATCCTCCAGAGCCGCCGGATCTCAGGGACGTATGTCTCCTCGCCCAGTTTTGCCCTCGTCCTGGCTTCGTCTTAAAAGGGGGGGTGCTCAGGTTGGGGTGGGCCCAGGAAGGGGGAGCATGAGGGAGGAGGAGGAGGAGGAGGAGGAGGAGGAGGAGGAGGAGGAGGAGGAGGAGGAGGAGGAGGAGGGCGGAGGAGGGACATGAGGAGGAGGAGGAGGAGGAGGAGGAGGAGGAGGAGGAGGAGGAAAAGGAAAAGGAAAAGGAGGAGGAGGGATGGCTCATCTTCAAAGGAAGCCCGCGTGCCGTCTGCAGGTAGACGACCCGCGGGCCTCCAGAGGGTTCTTGGTCAGCAGAGTCGCCGCCGCCCGCTCGCGACAGAGCCCGGCGCCCGGGCGACGAGGGGGACCCCGAAGCCGCCCCGACGGGCATCGGTCCCAGCGCGGAGGCCACCCCCCCGCGGGGGTGGACGGGCAGAACCAGCGGCCACCCGAGGCCGCCCCCAGAGGCGGGAGCAGGTTCGCTCAGCACGTGCGAGCCCCCCCCCCAAAACGCCCGTTTGGGGACTTCCTGGGGCCCTCCAAGGGCCCCCAGACCGTCAAGATCTTAACGGGCCCCCATCCGAGTCAGGGGTTCTCCTCTTGCTTCCGCAGCGATTCAGAACAATTCTGAACAGTGCACTCCGATGCGAAGCACTGCTCGACATTGCCTGACGTTGCTTTGCATTGATCGGCATTGCTGGGAATCAATGCTTGACATCGCTTTGCAGTGCTTGGCATGGCTTGGCATTTCTTGGCATTGCTTGGCGTCGTTTGGCGTTGCTCTGCATTGCTTGGCATGCGTGGCATCGCTTCGCATTACTCTGCATTCCTTGCATTGCTTTGCATTGCTTTGCTTTGCTTTGCATTGCTTGGCATGGCCTGACGTGACCTGGCATTGCCAAGCAACGCCGAGGAACCCCGAGGGTCGCCGAGCAACGCTGGGTCTTCATGGCCAAACAACGCCGAGGAACAGCGCAGCGCCGACGAGGAACCCCGAGCAACCCCGAGCAACGCTGGGGGTGAAGGACTCTGCACCCACCGTTCTCTCTTACAAGGAAGTAAGCACCCATGAGGACATGCCTCACTTTGAATAGGGAATCGACTACATAAATGATTTTCTCCAAACTTGATTGTCCCGCCGAATATGCCAGAAACGCGTAAAATGTTCGTAGGCCAACGGGACATTATACGTTTTTGTTCGCAGGTTCGGCGGGAACATCAACTGTCGGGTAAACCAATTCTGTAGTCGATTCCCTACTCGATCACTGGGGAATAGCTCGAGATGAAGAACCCTTCCCGTGGGGATGCCCCAGGGTCCAGGACCTATTTCCGTTCGCACGAACGGAACGGGCGCGGAAGGAAGGGGTGCGAACACTGACAACATGTCGTGTTCATTCTGGACAGGCCTCGCTGTCTGTGCCGCCGCGGACGTTGTCCGTTTGAGACAGATGGCTGCTTCCTTACAGCGGCCGCTGTCGGTTTTGGCCAGCATGTGTTGGAGGGCCCTGGTGCCAACCTTTCCGTACCCATGTCGGGCGTCCAAATCCGTCATGATCAGCACCCGTCATTCCAAATTCTGTATCCACGGCCTCGTGGTGCGTCCACCGGCGGCGAGCGAGGTGGGGAAGTGAGAAGGAGATGGCCTTCTCAGAAGGCGGCGGGACTTCTCAGAGGCCCTCGCGCCTTCTGAGAAGTTGTTTCTGTCTTCGGGGAAGGCCCAGAAAACTTCTCAGAAGGCCCGGGGACTCCCGAGCCTTCTGCGAAGGCCCGCCCCTCCTCACTTCCCCCCTTCGGTCGCCGCCTGGGCCATCTTGTCGGTCGCGACCGCCCTGCGTCCAGGGCGGCTCTGTGCGGATATGTCCTGCGCGAGCGTGCCCAGGGGGATCACGCGCCCATGGTCGGGTATAGCCAGGACCCAAGTTAAGGGGAGCCGGTGAGTGATAGGGCCCCGAAGCCCAAAATATGGATTGGAACCACTAAACCAGATCTGCCGTAGCTGGTGTTTTGTCCGGGTGACGGCTATTCCAGTTAGTGGAATGGGACGGGGGGGGCGTCCCCGGTACAGATCACGAAACCAAGTCCCTTTAAACTCAGGAGGGGAAAAAACATACAGACACAATTAATCGTCGATTCCCAGAAAATATGGGAAAATATGGGAAGTGGGGTGGAAGACAGAAACTCAGAAAATATGGGAAAATATGGGGAATCCTGTTATTTGTGTGTCCCAGGGCCCCTTCATCAAGAGCGGCAGAGAGGGGGGTTCGAAAGCTGGGCGAGGGCTGCTAAAACCGTGGCTGCTAAAACGGCCCTCCCAGAAGGAAAAACTAACTTCCCGGAGTGGGCGCGGCTTCCGAGGGGTGATGACTATGGGGTGTGTGGATCTCACGGCGGGGGCCATGGTATCTCCCCAGATTTCATGGCGCCTCTTCATATTTCCTTGCGTCTCCAGCCCATCCCTGGGGCCACGCACATGCCGGCGGCCATGATTTGCGCCCCGTCCCCTCTTGGACGCCCCCCTCTCGGCTGCCCCCGAATGGCCAGATATCGAACGATCGGTGTTGGCGGAAAGTTTGTACCGAAGACAAACAAATGTTATATACATAATCTTGAGGCGTTCCGCGCGGATTTCTTGGATTCGCGCTGGGCCCCCCCAGCGGCGCCTCCGGCGCAGCCCCTGACGCGCTCCGCGCACCAGGGACAGGGGTCCAGCGCAGATCCAAGAAATCTGCGCGGAGCGCCGAAAGTTTAAGTTTTTGACGTTGTTCCTTCTTCTATTGCAGCGTCCCAGGTGGGGCGATCCACGCGGTGTAATTTCACAGCGGCGACGTCGACACGGCACGAGTTTTTGCAGCATGGATAGCAAGACCGTTCAAGAAATGCCTTGAGGGGCCATGCAGCAGCGCCTCGGGTGATGATTCATGTGTATGCTGGATTCTGGGAGCTCGCTCCTTGGCGTCGCCGTCGTCACTGGGGTTCATGGCTCGTCCTCACCAGGATCTCCCCCATCGGCAGAAGCAATGCTTTAGTCAACCCGCATAACAAGGATGGGCAACCTTCCCCAGGGTACCCTTGCATCCTTGCCCCTTCGGCCCATCCTTTGGCTGCTTTCGCTGGCCGCGCCTCTCTCGAGAAGCTTCGAAGTGGCCTTCCGAGGCCCTTGTATCCTTATCGTGCGTCCTTGTTATACGGGTTGACGACGGGCCGAAAAAACAACACAGCACAGACATAATGTCTCGGACCTCTGCGCGGATTCCGTGGATCGGCGTTGGCTCCCCCCGGCGGCGCCTCCGGCGCCGCCTCCCAGCGCGCCCCGCGCGCCAGGGAGGGTGGTCCAACGCCGATCCAAGACACCCGCGCGGACCTCCGAGAAATTGTGCTTATGCTGTTGCTCGTTCCTGTATGAAATGTCCCACCCCCGTTGCTTCATCGGCATCCTTCAACCATCTGAAACCTTGAGGACGAGCAGACATGTTCGTGGACTCCAGCTTTCGCTGGAGAGAGCAAGAATCTGCACTTGACCCTGGGCGTTTTATTGGAGCTTCTTTTTTCGTGGATTTGTACCGCCGGGGCGCTGAAGAAGGGACCCTTTTGGTTGAGGAGGGGCTCAGTGTTCCTTAGTTGTTTTAGAGTTTGACTTAGGTTTTCCTCAGGCTTTCGATGGGAAGCCGAAGTCTAACTCATAGAGAAAAGGGGCTTCGTTCCTTATGTAGTGTTCCTCAGGTCAACGCCCCGACTGGATACCTGGACCTGGACTCCTGCTGAAGAAAACGCTCGGAGCGAAGCTCGGTTTCTTAGCGCAACGTGTTCTTCTTCACTCTGAGCTCTAGGCAGGGGTGCACGTAAATGAAGGGGCCCTAGGACACAACTAAATACACACACACAAAAACAACTCCCCATATTTTCCCATACGTTCTGGGTTTATGTCTTCCCCCCACTGCCCATATTTTCCCATACTTTCTGGGGAATCGACCCTTAAGTGTGTCTGTGTGTTGGATGTGCACGCCGCTCCTGGCCCTCCTGTGCGCGCCGCCGAGGCGAGGGCGTGGGCGGCGGGAACTCGAAGATCGGCCTGGCCCCGGAGGAGTGAGGTGGCCGCGGGCCGCGGCGGCGGCATCCCTTCGGTGAGCGGGCATGCCCCTCCTCCCCCTTCCCTTGCCGCTTTCTCTCTCCCCCTCTCTCTCTCCCGCTCTCCCTCTCCTCTCCCTCTCTCTCTTTTTGTTGCTCTGGCTTGCGTCTCGCCATCTCTCTCTCTCTCTCTCACTCTCTCAGTCTCGTTCCCTCTCTCTCTCTCTCTGTCGCTCTCGCTCGCTCTCGTCCTCAGCATCTTCCCTGCCATTGCTCTTCCTCTTGATCTTCCTTTTCCTCTTCTGGCTCATCCTCCGCCCATTCCTCATTCCTCTCCTCGCTTCCTCTGTCCCTCCTCCTCGTCCCCCTCTTCCGCTTGGTGCTTCCCTCATCAACACTATCCCATCCGTCCTAATCCGAATCTGTTTTCTCTCTCTCTCTCTCTCTCTATCTCTCTCGCCCTCCCCCTCTCTCTCTCGCCCTTCCTCTCTCTATCATCTCTTCTTTCTCCGCCTTCCCTCCATCTCTCTCCCTCCTGAAATCATGCCTGCTGTCCCCGCTTCGCCCCTCCGCTTCAGCCTCCGACTACAGTGGAAACCCATGCCAAGAAACACCCTGCTTGCCTCCAGGGTGCCCTGGGTATCTTGGGCTTTTCGATGGTCTTGCGATGGATAGCGTGGCGCTCCCACACCAAAATATCAGGGGACGCCCTGGGGTCTCAGGGTGTTGTGTTTCTTGTGGAAGGTTTCGTGTGGACTGGCCTCCACCGCAGCTTCGCCATCGTCATTGTCATTATATATCGCCCGCTATCGTCCTCGTCGTTGCCATCGCCGCTGTTGGCACAGGTCGTCGTCGCCGCCACCATCCGACCACGACCGTGGCAGGAGGGCGAACGAGACGGGGAACCCATACCTCTGCCCCCTCCTCCTCCTCCTCCTCCTCCTCTTCTTCCTCCTCCTCCTCCTCCTCCTCCTCCTCCTCATCCTCACTCCTCCTCCTCCTCCCATACCTCTGTCCCCCGTACCCGCGGCGGCGAACGGGGGAGGGTGCGAGCGAGACCGCCGCCCGGCGCGCTCTCGGCTCCGGTTTGTAATGTACACCACGCACCCGCGGCACCTCCGAGGCGCGGAGGCCCCGCGCGGACCACCCGCGTGGGCGGCGCCCGCCCGCGCTCCGGCGCCCCGCCCCCCTCGCAGGGGCGCGCGCACCGCGTGCGGGGCGCGGCTGGCCAGGGAAGGCGCGCGCGCGGGTCGGGGGCGCCTCCCGGACGTCTCGGGCCGGACGACAGGGGGGGATTGGGAATGGGGGGGGGTTACGAAAATTGCTGCACGCAGCTGGCTTCGGCCCCGCCGCCGGGCCCATTTCTCGATACATGGCCGCTTCCCGGCGCTGGGAGGCGCCGGGAACATCGGCTACGTGAGCTGATTCTCAACCCCCCCCTTTGCTATCCCCCCCTTTCGCCCAGCCCAGACGTCGGACCCAGGGCCCCCTCGCGCTGTGACAGAAAGCACGGCAGGGGGGGTTCTCACAATTTTCGGCCTCTGGGGGCCCTGACAGGGCTTCGGGACTATGGGAGAACGACCCAGGATGGAACATCGGTCCCGGGGAATGGGTCCAGACCTCTGGGAGTCGCGTCATGAGACAAATCATGACGTCGGGGGTCCGTGGACGAGCAAAAGGTACCCTACACCGCTGCCCTTCCCTCGCTTTCCCCATTTTTCGGGCCTCTTGGAATGCCCTCGACGCCGTCGCTGGATTCGCTTCGGAATTCTGGCCAGAAAGCACCCAGGGAGACCGGGGAGCAGCGGTATGGGTACCTGTTGGTTTCCCCAAAGGCGGCGCGCAGGTCCACGCATCTCCCTCATGGGGTCCCGGGTCGGAGGGTCGCGCCGCATCGCCGATGCATCGGCGACGCGGCTCGATGTGGAGCCCGATTTTCGCCACGCCGGCGGCGCCGAT